CAAGGGACTATTGTTTGCAAACCAGAGACACAACTAGGCAATACTCAGAATGTTTCAAGGAAGAAAGAAAAGCTAAGAGTTGTTATAGTAAAGAGTACATTCTTTCCTTTCAATCTTAAATACAGGGAAGATCTTACATCTTAGTATTCTCCCTACTGGAGGTTCGCTCATCCTTGGAGCCCTGGGTGGAAGAGGCTGACTAATCCAGTTTGTCTGTTTCTCCTTCGGTGACTGCAGCAGCCTGTGGAGACTAAAGTAACGCATTTCAGCAGCTCCATGAGCAGAGTAGTCCTGGCTCCAGTGCCCTGAGGTCCTGATGCTTGTCAGATGATGAAAGGAGCCTAGCTCGGCCAGGATTCCCCCTGCAAAGAGCAGTGCCAGGCCAGGCGTGCTAACTGAGAATGGGCAGCACAGGAAGACTTGTGGCAGGGATCATAACACTCGGGTGTTTCTCTGATCAGAAAATGTCTTCCCTCAAGCAGGAAAGAAAGCACTCTCTGCCTGGGGGGTCCATGTGTCAGCCAAGCAAGGATTGGATATCTACACGGATGAACCTGAGCAGGAGGACAGAAACAGCTGCAGGAGAGATGGGATAGCATTTCAGGATGTGTATGAAGTAGGCAACAGTAAACTCTCAAGTCAGACCTTCACTTCCTGCTGGATTTTTAGCACAGTTTCCCCTGTGCTGGTAGATTCAGTTCTCCATTCTCAGTCTGAAGATGCAGCAGATTTTGGTATAGATGTGATAAATGCAACTGGAAATGCTGAAGAAACTAATCAGTGCCTTAGAGAAGCTAAAATAAGATACAGGCCCAAAGTGTACTTCATGAGGGAAACAACCAGAAGGCATTCGAATGATTCTGGTGGACAGGCTGATTTGAGGCCAGAGAAGAATATAAGCTTTGAGCTGAGATTCTCTACCTGGCTGTCAACTTTCTGGACAGGTTTCTTTTGTGCATGTTTGTTCTGAGAGGGAAATTGCAGCTTGTAGGAACAGCAGCTATTCTGACTTCAAAAGATGAAGAAATATCTACCTGAAGGAGATGAGTTTGTGTAACTGATGATACTAAAAATGAGAACTATTTTGTGGGACACCTTACTGCTCCTGAAAGTCCTAATTTTTAAAAAAATAAATAGAAGGAGAGAGATAGAAACATCAATGACGAGAAAGAATCATAGATTGGCTGCCTCTTGCACATCTCACACTGGGGACAGAGCCAACAACTGGACATATGCCCTGGCAGGGAATTGAACATGACCTCCTGATTAAAAGGTCAATGCTCAACCACTGAGCAATACCAGCTTGGTGCAAACTATTTTTAAAGTTGATTTTAGAGAGAAAGGAAAGGAGAAGGAAAGTGAAACATCGATTGGCTGCCTCCAGTAAGTACCCCAATTGGGATCAAACACATAACCAGGGTATGTGCCCTGACTGGGAATCGAACTTTGGACTTATGTTTATGGGACAACATTCCAAGCAGCAGAACCACGCTGGCCTGAGCTAAAGTCCTAGCTTTTGATCTAAAAGTGCCAACTATCAATCAGTTTCTCCTTAAGGAGGCAACGAGTGTGTGTCAAACTGAGAATCTGGCCAAGTACAGTCTACTTGAAGATGAACCATTCTATATATGATTGATTTCAGAGAGGAAGAGAGAGTGAGAGAGAGAGAAAAACATCAATGATGAGAGAGAATCATTGATCAGCTGCCTTCTGCATGCTCCCTACTGGGGCTTGAGCCTGAAACCCAGGCATGTGCCCTTGACCAGAATGGAACCTTCAGTCTGAAGGCCAGTGCTCTATTCACTGAGCCAAGCCGGGGCCCATTCTTGAAATATATTCCTACTTGGTAACTGCAGCAGCTTATTGCCTGGCAAACTGTACTATGAACAGCTGCTTCTAGCCAAACACTCCTGCAGCATTTACAGGCTGTTCATTAGGTGAAATTGTGCCTTGCCTGAGTGAGCTACATAAAGCATGCCTTGTATACCCCACTGACTGTCCCGACCAGTGGGAGATCAACGTGGGGGTGAGGAGGCACCTAGAAGGGAATGATAGAGGACAGGAGACGTGAAGAAATGGAGGCAAGACAGAGTTCTGATCAAGCCCCGAATTTTATTGTTGAAGCTGCAATATATATATATATATATATATATATATATATATATATATATATATATACACACACACACACACAGGCTGTAGGGGGAGGTTGCCGCGGGGACATTCCAAGGCGTGGCAAACTATGGGAGGGAGGATCAGGGAGGGGACGTTGTAGGGATCTTCAGGAGCAGGATGTGTTGTTAAGCGATAGGTTATCTTTAGCTTCTGTCCAAATCACAGGGCACCACGTGATCTCTGGTGACTGTGAGTTGTAAGAGGAGTTGGAAACTTAACTCCCAAGATGGAGTTGTATTTTCTAAGATGGAGTTGCTTGTATCGACTTTGATGGCTCCCAACAACTGACCTCAGCAAGCAATTAGGAAGATGTACACAGCTTCAAAGTACATGCATGTACCTCTCATGGGACCACCTGCAGTTCTTTCTCTAAAATAAGTTTCAGAACTAAAGCACTTTCAGAACTTAACCTCCAGATCAACCGAATTGTTTCTAATTTTTTTTTAGGTTTCTACAGGTTGGATCAACTAGTGTTACTACAATATAGATGACATTTTAAAAAATATAAATGTATTTAGCTTCTCTTACATTTGGTAGCTTGTAAAATATTCTAACATTTAAAAAATGATAAACAACTTGCTTTATAACAAAACAAGAAATTACATTCTCCCCCCTCCCACCACTCACTCAATCAATTCAGGGTTTTTATTGCATTTTTAAAAATATAAAAACAAGTCTGAGGAATCATCTGGCATCTTGCTATTTCTGCAGCTGGACAACTTAGTTCTTATTCATCAGCCTGCTGAACTGTTCCCTGTACCATCCAAATTGTTTTTTTATATCCTTTTTTTAATTGTTGTGGCTTGCTGAATCAAAGCAGCTGAATTTGATACCAGTTCAATGTTTCCTTCAATAATTAACTCATCTTTCAGGGCTTGAGGTACTGAACAAGCAACGCCCAACCTTATCCAAATCCCATGGATGTATTTTCACCCAAGAAATTTCAGATTTCAACAAGAAATCCTGAATAACAAAGCTGTTGGGGAAATGAGCATACGCAGACCTCATCTTGTAATGGAAGCCCAGTGTAACACTTGTGATCATGTTCTGCACCTGACTACAGATAGTGTAAACAGTACACAGTTCCGGTCTATTTCCCCACCATTTGTCAATTTGGAGTCTCTTTTTCTTTCCATTAGACTGAGTTCTACATTGATGTGATTGAAGTTCCTACACAGGGTGCCCTTGAGGCCCTTCACAATAACTGTGTCCCTTCAGGGTGATATCAACATTTTTAGAATGTCAACAGTCTGCTGAGAATGGTCTTCATCCTTATATAGTAATAGATGAGACATAGATAAAGAGTTGAGAAGAATCAGGTCTGTATAATTAGCCTCTGGATTGGACTGAGATGGTAATCCTCTAGATGACAGGTGGCCTAGATACACGAACATTCTTTCCTGAATTCTTCAGGTTATCTGGAGATTTGGTGTCTACCCAGGCATCGATGTAGGACTAGAAAAATCAAAATTTTAAGTTCCCAGGCAAGAATAGAAGCATTTTCTTATACCTCAACCTACTTGATTTCAGTAATTTGTCAGTTTGCTCAAGTGACTCCATTTTATTTCTTCATTCTATTCTCAGTATACTTTTGTAAACCAATGGTTTTTTTGGGAGGATTTCTTTTTTAAAACATGTCCCAAAGTGGGATTGCGGAGACAAAGGATATGTGCACTTTGCATGTTAGCAGTTACAGCCAGGTTTCTTTCCAAATGGCTGTAAAAACTCACATTCCTACCCCTAGGCTATGAGGATATCATTCCCAACTCTCTCACTAATGCTTAGTGCTCCCATTCTTTAATTTTTGTTAGTATGACAAATGGAAAATGATAAGATCATATTTTTTTATAAGAATATTTTTTTAAATATATTTTATTGATTTTCTACAGAGAGAAAGGGAGAGAGATAGAGAGCTAGAAACGTCGATGAGAGAGAAACATCAACCAGCTGCCTCCTGCACACCCCCCACCGGGGATGTGCCCTCAACCAATGTACATGCCCCTGACCGGACTCGAACCTGGGACCTCTCAGTCCGCAGACCGACACTCTACCACTGAGCCAAACCGGTTTCGGCTATAAGAATATTTTTTAAAAATATATTTTTTATTCATTTCAGAGAGGAAGGGAGAAGGAAAGAAACATCAATGACGAGAGAGAATCATTGGTCAGCTGCCTCCTGCATGTTCCCTGCTGGGGGTGAAGAGGCTGCAGGCCTGGCATGTGCTCTGGCCGTGAACTGAACTGTGGTCTCCTGCTTCATCGGTCTGAGCCACACCAGCGAGGTGAGAATGTTTGTATACCCTTGAGAGACTTTTGCAAGCAGGATGGAATACCCAAAATACACAAATAAAAATATTGAATAAAATATTACTGGCCTGGCCAGTGTGGGTCGATTGGAGCATCATCCTGTACACCAAAAAGGTTGCAGGTGATTCAGGTCAGGGCACATATTTAAGTTGTAGGTTTTGATCCCCAGTCGTGGCATAAATGGGAGGCAACTGATGGATGTTTCTCCTCCGTCTCTCTCTCTCTCCCTCTCTCTCTCAAAAAAACCCCCCAAAACAAAACACAATTAATAAATAGAAATAAAATATCACACTGAAACCGATTTGGCTCAGTAGATAGAGCGTTGGTCTGTGGACTGAAGGGCCCCAGGTTTGATTCCAGTCAAGGGCATGTACATTGGTTGTGGGAACATCCCCGGTAGGGGGTGTGCAGGAGGCAGCTGGTCGATGTTTCTCTCTCATAGACGTTTCTAGCTCTCTATCCTTCTCCCTTCCTCTCTGTGGAAAATCAATAAAAAATATATATATTTTTAAAAAAATAAAAGATCACTATGTAAAAGAAACGGTAGGAGAAAACATTTGCAACACATCTGATAAATGGTTAACACTAATTGGTAAGAAAATGACACACTGCCCAATGAAAACTAGAAAAAATGTATTAGTGAGTAATTCACCAAGAAGGAAATGCAAATCGTCAACAAACACATGAAAATATGCTCAACCACACTGATAGGGAAATGAATTAGTTCATTTGTATGGTAAGTTTAGGAAAAACAAGGTGCATGGAAGATAGAAAGTCTCTAAGTAATAGGATGTTGGTCTCTAACTCCTCCATTAATTTGGCTTCATGATTCTGATGATGCTTTCCAGAAATTTAAATTGTGCCATTCATGGGGGTGTGAAGGGTTCAAGCACTAGGATTCAATTTCCAAGTATAGATGGAACTTTTAGGATTGAACCAAGTCTACCTATGGTCAAGGGCTATGGCTGGCAATCAGGAGCTTCCATAAGGATTTACTTTCACCATTTCTGTTGGTGCTTAGACCAACCACTTGGCTATTATCTCTACACTAGAGGCCCGGTGCATGAATTCATTTACAGGTGGGGTCCCTCTGGGTGGCTTGCAGGGATTGGGCCAAAACCCGTAGTCAAACACCACCTGCAGCTCCTACCTGCCATTCCTGCTCATCCTGGCCCCACTGTGCCTGCTGCTGGCTCGTACCCAATCAGTCCTGATTGGGAGAGGCCCGGTGGGAGCATCTGCCCCCTTGTGGTCAGTGCATGTCATTATGAGCGGTTGAACAGCCTTTGCATATCATTAGCATATTATGCTTTGATTGGTTGTTCGGTTATTGTACCCTTCAGTCTATGTGCATATTACCCTTTTATTATATAAGGTGGCTCTATTATCCTCAGTCATCAGTACAGGCATGTTCATTTTATTATGCTTCATTTTATTGAGCTCCATAGGTATTGCAGTTTCTACAAATTGAAGGTAAGACCGTCCAACACCAAAAAGATTATGATTCACTTGCCTTATCCTGGAACCAAACCCGTAATAACTCCCAAGTTACGACTGTATTTTTGTTGGGACAGGTCGAGATTGTTTTTACTATCAGGTACACTTACCCCCTGCAAGCCTCAGCTTTCATCTGAAGGCTGGTGCTATGCCCCACAGGTGACGTATCATTTGGAGACACCTCTTTAGACACCAGCCCAACACTTCAGGAATAATAAGACTGGCCTTAGTTTAGACTTGCCCTGAACTTAGGGCTGAATCTACCCCTGGATGGTTGCCTGCTAGTATACCTACTAGCTTTTGCTTCCATCTCCAGGTTTGTTTGCTTGGTCCCTGGGGCTCCCTGACCTACCTTTTCACCCCTGACTCTTTTTTCCTGCCCCCCCCCTTTTTTTTTTTTGGCTCAGTGCATTTGGACTAGCCTTCCATTGATATCTGATTTGGCCTTGGAATCCTTCCATTGTAAACTGCCTCCACAGGCAGCCAAAAGAAGATCCTGCCCCATGCCCCTGATATACTGAGGATGTTGTGCTAGAAGTAGGAAGGAACTTCAGTACCCTTTGTCTTGCCCAGTTCTGCCCTGTGGGAGGACTCAGTTGCCCCACGAGAGAGAATGTTGAATTGGTGGGGCTCTTGGGAGCATGTGACTGTCCTCCATTGTGTTGCTTTCACAGTTCACAGAGACCTTACATGCTTGACAAGGTTTTTGCCATCCTTTGACAACTTTTCATTCCTCCACACTACTCTGTTCTCCAGGAAGCCTGGTTGTGGGTGTTCTCACAATCCCATTTACCTGAAAAAGGCAGTCCCCAAGGGAGAAATGTAAGGAGATTTTGGTGTCACTGCCCTCTGTGATTAAAGGCCTGGAAGAGGAAGACAATATAAACTAGGCATGGTCAGGATTCACTGAGGTTGAGATCTCATCTGCTGGGGAGGAGAACTCTCGTTTTTGCCCTGAAACTTAAACTGGAGTAATGTTACCCTTTATATGTAATCCCAAAGGGTTTGTGGGATCTGTCAGAAAGAGGGTGGTCTGGCAGAGTGATTGCCCTGTATGTCCCGCTGGAACAAACCTGTCCTCTGTATAGGCTCCTACAAGGGTTTCTTCCAGGCTTCAAGCTGGGTTGGAGGCTTCAATCCAGTTCTTGTGGTTTAGGTTATGTGCAAGTCAGAGCTGGAGGTTCTGTTTCTGGGGTGCTCTGACAACTACACTAGCTAGCATTCAGAGTAATGAGCAACCTTTCTCAAGGAGGTGATTCGAGGAGTGGCTGTGGTTTCATCCCTGGCTGCACACTAGGACCAACTGCATCACTTGAAATCAGCTGATACCTGGACCCCACCCTAGACTAAAGTCAGAATCTCTGGGTTTGGGACAGGGCTTAAGCATGTTTTAAAAGCAATCCAAGCCGGGACTGGTTTGGCTCAATGGATAGAGCGTCGGTTTGGGGACTGAAAGGTCCTGGGTTCGATTCCGGTCAAGGGCATGTACCTTGGTTGCGGGCATATCCCCAGAAGTGGGTGTGCAAGAGGCAGCTGATCAATGACTCTCTCTCATTGATGTTTCTGACTATCTCTCTGCCTTCCTCTCTGTACAAAATCAATAAAAAAATATATTTAAAAAATAATAATAAAAAAAAAATAAATGAAAGCAACCCAAGCCGAAACCGGTTTGGTTCGGTGGATAGAGAGTCGGCCTGAGGACTGAGGGGTCCCTGGTTCGATTCCGGTCAGGGACATGTGCCTGGGTTGCGGGCACATCCCCAGTGGGAGGTGTGCAGGAGGCAGCTGGTCATATTTCTAACTATCCCTCTCTCTTCCTCTCTGTAAAAACTCAATAAAATATATTTAAATAAATAAATAATAAAAACAACCCAAGTTTACATGATTTATTGGGGTGATCACTTAATAAGTTATATAAATGTCTAATCACTATGTTGTACAGCTGAAATTAATATAATATTATATCTCTAATTGAAAAATTTTAGAGTAACCAGATGATCTAATAAACAGCCAGGATTGGAATCTACGAGTATTGTATCCTCCTGGTGAGGATTAACAATAACCACAAAAATATGTGATCACTCTGGTCCAAAATGTGTGTGGATGCTATTAATCAAGTACTTTGCAGGGCTCCTCTCACTTGGAGCACTGACATTTTGTGCTGGATACGTCTTTGTTGTGAGGAGCTGTCTGTGCATTGAAGGACGTGTAGCCGTGTCCCTGGCCTCTCCTCACTGGATGCCGGTAGCACCCTGCCCCCCAACTCCACATTGTGACAACAAAAAAATACTCCCCAGTTGAGAAGCACTATCGGAAACGTTGTGGGGTTATTATTGTTAGTGCTGAAGTTCATAAGTCAGGGTCCAAATGGCCTGTACTCTGTCCAGAAGACAGCCTTGTTTTCATTCCCTTTGAGGATTGGAATGAGGTTGTAAGCCCCTAAAAGTCTTATAAGATGAGGCCATGGTCCTGCAGAGTGTAAGACCCCTGTCTGTGGATACCACAGACTCAAGTCTCTGGCTCTGAGAGGGAGTAGTCCCACTTGGCGAGGCTGATGGACACCGGGTATGGGAGTGACCTGAGCAAGGAGGGGTGGTGAGGAGATTTGAGGCTGGCCACTGCTTCACTGTCTGGAAGCAAAGCTGCAGGCAGCCTGGAGATGGCCTCCCAACCTGAGAACCAAGGACACCAGCTGACCACTACATCACACATATCTGAGTTAACTGAGCCTAACGCCATCCAGTATCACAGGAAGTGTTTGTGGCCATGATTGTGTATCTGAGTGGCACTTCACCTTTACTCTCGGGGCAAGACATGCTGGTGAATTCCACTATCTCCTCTCCTTGTAGGCAGTCCTGGGCCTGGACAGGAAGGGGCCCTTGTTGGACAAGTACCTGCTCAAGACCTGCACATTCACTACCCGTGGTCAGGAGTCGCAGGGAAATGGCAGCTCCCTATGATGCGGTGGTTCCGAGTCTTTTTCTTAGTTCTGAAGAAAGCTGTGGATCTCTCTCTGGAAACATGCATCACTTGCACTCACACACAATTCCGCATATAATTTTTGAAGCTGAACCATGTACTACAAATCAAGAATCCTTTCTAGTATCTCAAATTTATTTATTTATTTATTTATTAATATATTTTATTGATTTTATACAGAGAGGAAGGGAAAGAGATAGAGAGTTAGAAACATCGATGAGAGAGTGTCATCAATCAGCTGCCTCTTTGCACACCCCCCACTGGGGATATACCCGCAACCAAGGTACATGCCCTTGACCGGAATCGAACCCAGGACCCTTCAGTCCCCAAGCCGACGCTCTATCCATTGAGCCAAACCGGTCCTGGCTAGTATCTCAAATTTAAATTCACATTCCCTAGTATTCTGCAGTTTCACCTCTAGCAATCCATTTCAAAGACATATTAGCATTTGATGTGTAAATATGTTGGGTCTATAGCAGTACTGATATAATGACAAAAATGTAGAAACAGTTTAATTGGATACTAATAGGAAAATTGAAACATTATTTATTTACTTATTCAAAATGGGATACTATGCAACTAATAAAGAGAATTGGAGGTCAAACTATCTGCAAATTGAAAATAGGTCCATGAGCCGAAGCCGGTTTGGCTCAGTGGATAGAGCGTTGGCCTGTGGACTGAAAGATCCCTGGTTCAGTTCCAGTCAAGGGCATGTGCCTTGGTTGCAGGCACATCCCCAGTGGGGGGTGTGCAAGAGGCAGCTGATCGATGATTCTCTCTCACTGATGTTTCTAACTCTCTATCCTTTTCTCTTTCTCTCTGTAAAAAATCAATAAAATATATATATTTAAAAAAAAAAAGAAAGAAAAAGAAAATAGGTCCATGATCTCTGTATAAAACACATGTGCAACAATATAGACTATCATCTTGTTTTTGTTAAAATTGTTGTATATGTGTAAACCCAAATATCTACCTAATAAAAGAATAACATGCTAATTGACTATACCATCATGATGCCCATCAGCCAATCAGGAGTGAGTATGCAAATTAACCCAACAAATACGGTGGGTTAATTTGAATACATAGGCGCTGAGTGGCCAAGGAGGGGGCGGGATGCTAGCATCATTGCCATGGTGGTGACTCAGGCGTTTGGCACCATCCCAGCCGCTCCGGGCCTCTGGACAGTGTGAGAAGGCACAAAGGCAGCTCCTGGCCTGAGTGGAAAGGCTGCTTCAGCCAGAGCAAAGGCAGTGCTGGCAGCCAGGGGAACGAAGGCCCATTCTTGCTTGAATCTTCATTCATGCATTGGGCCACTGGAATATGATATATTTGTATTCATAGAATAACTTCTCGGAGTCTAATTACAAACTTTACAGTGGGCTAAGATTTACACTTTGTATCTGTGTTATTTGAAATTCTAAAAATTTGCAAGAATCCTCTCTGTAAGTTAAAAACAAAAAAAGACGAACAGCAGCAACAGAAGGGAGTTATCCCTAGAATGTGGAGTGTGATGGGTGAAGAGTTTCAGTCTGGTCAGCGCCCCAGGTAGATTAGGACTTTCTATGGTGCACATCCCCTGGGAAGCTCTCAGATCCAGGCCTGCCTCTGAGGCGCCAGCACCACCGCAGAGCCCTTTGGGAAAAGGATAGCCCCTCACATTCCATTGTGCTGAGTCTTCTGAAACCATGTGTCCCATGGAGACCACTGAATTTTATTTTTTTTAATATACGTAGACTGTTAGCGTCGCCAAAGGAGGAATGCACGAGGCCAAAGTGGTCAAGAATTTTAAGTTTATCTCTGGATGCCAGATGGCCTGAGCCCCAAATGGCGCCAGCACCCAGGGACAGAGAGTCAGAGCTTTTAAAGGATTTGAAGCAGACTTTTTCTGGGCAGAGAATTCCCTGGGCAAGCCCAGGTCTTGGGAAGATCTGTAGAGGAAGGATAATGGTCTTAGGAAGTGGAATGTGGTCTAAGCAAAAGGGAATGTTGGTTGTGAAGTGGCCTAAAGGTCAGTTCCCAGGGGAGGAGGTATTGATTCAATTATTTGATCAGACCTAACACAAACTTTACAAAATAAACTGCCAAAAATAGACACCTCTCTCTCTCTCTCTCTCTCTCTCTCTCTCTCTCTCTCTCTCTCTCTCTCTCTCTCTCTCTCTCCCCCTCTCCTACACACACACACCCTGGATACTGCCCACAGTCCAGTCTAAATTACAAAATGCTGAGATATTCTATTCCAAAGAGTCTATTACAGAGATACTGCCGTAGACATTCCTTTGGATTGAGACTTTCACTTGGAGGTTGGGCTACATTCATGTGTCTGGACTCTTGCTGGGCCTTGAGAACCATCTCTCATAAACTATCCTATGCAGGTGTGACCTGGTGTGTGCAGACTTTGCCCTCTCCTTGGACTCCTGCCCTTGCCAGGCCCACTGCTGCTACCAGGGCCGGTGCCAAACTCTGACCTTTCCCCTTGGCCTTCTGCCATGTGTCCATCCTGAAGTTTTCACAGACACACTTGAGAGCACATGAGTGGGTGCTGAAGACTCACATTCCATTTTGCTCTTATTTATTCTAAGCAACCAAAATCACCAAAGGCAATTTAAAAATATATATATATATGTGTATATACAATATATATATATAATTATTATTATTTTACAGAGAGTAAGGGAGAGGGATAGAGAGTTAGAAAATTTGATGAGAGAGAAATATCGAACAGCTTTCTCCTGCTGGGAATGTACCCTCAACCAAAGTACATGCCCTTGAGCAGAATCAAACCTGGGACCCTTCAGTCTGCAGGCTGACACTCTATCCACTGAGCCAAACCAGCCAGGGTAATAAGTTTATTTTCTATATATAATGTAATAAAGCACATCAAAGAAAGTTTGGAGGAATAGGATTGAAAGTCTGGAAATAAAGCTATACATCTGTTGTCAATTGATTTTTTATAAAGGTGCCAGAAACACTCAATGGGGGCAAGAATAGTCTTTTCAACAAATCATGCTGGGAGAACTTGGTAGCCCCATGCAAAAAAAACAAAACAAAACGAAGTTGTGCCCTTACCTCATACCATATACAAAAATTAACTTAAAATAGAACCAAGAGCCTGAATGGTGTCTCAGCGGTTGAGTGTCAATTTATGAACCAGGAGGTCAAGGTTTGATTCCAAGTCAGGGCACAGGCCTGGGTTGCTAACTCAATCCCAGTTGTGGGTATGCAGGAGGAAACTGATCGATGATTCTCTTTCATATTGATGTTTCTATCTCTCTCTCTCTCCCTCTCCCTTCCTCTCTGAAAATCAATAAGCATATATTTTTAAAAAGTGGATCAAATATTTAAACACAAGAGCTAAAACTACATAACTTTTAGAAAAAAGAAAACAGGAGCAAATCTTTGTGATCCTAGACTAGACAATGGTTTCTTACCACTTCACGGCTACTAGCATGGCTATAATAAGAAAGATGGACAAACAAGTTTTGACAAAGATGTGGAGAAACTGGGATATTCATATATTGCTGCTGGGAATGTAAAATGTTATAGCTGCTATGGAAAACAGTTTGGTAGTTTCTCAGAAAGTTAAAAAACAGAGTTGTCAGGTGACCCAGCAATTGCATTCCTAGGTATATACCCAAGACAGTTGAATATTTGGTCATGCAAAATTTGTGCAGAAATGTTCATAGCAGTTTTTTCACAACAGCCCAAAAATGGAGACAAACCAAATACCTATTGATGGATGAATGGATAAACAAATATAGTATATTCATACAGTGGAATTTTATTTGGCCATAAAAAGAAATTAAATATTAAATCATACTATGACATAGACAAACCCAGAAAAAGTCACGCTAGGTGAAATTTAACTTGTCACAAAGGATCACATATTATATTATTCTATTTATATAAAATGTCCAAAATAAGCAAATCTACAGACATAGAAAGATCAGTGGTGGCCAGGGGTTGAGAGGAAAAGGGAATAGAGAGTGATTGCTAATAGGTATGGGGTTTCTTTTGGGGGATGATGGTTGCATAAGAAGCAAGGAGTGGCACCAGTGGACCGAAGCTCCAAGGGTAGGTGCTTATTTGAACTTTCAGGGCCACTCAGTTCTCTTTGATTAGTTGAGGCTCATACGTGGGCAAAGAAGAAATTCATGGAGTCATATCAATATATTGTTCCATGGGAGACTAGACAAGGTTTCAAACACCCAGACTCATAAGCTGATCACCAAACAGGCAGAGGATATGAGCAGTCTACAAGAAAAAGAAATAGCTCGTAGACATGAGAAAGGTCTTCACCTCTCTCACAATTAAGGTTGTGCATCACAAAACAACCAAATTCCACTTGTTGTGTGTCAGACTGGCAAACAAATGAAAGTTTGGTAATGCCCAAGGCTCACAAGGTTATGGGGAAATACGCACCCTTTGTCCACTGTTCCCGAGAGTGTAAACAGATTCAACTCTTCTGGAGGGCAATTTGGCAATGTCTGTCAACGTTTGGAATGTTTGTTCTCATTGACTCAACAATTCTACCACTAAGGATTTACCCACAGGATATACTGACAACATTATGCCAAAATCATGTACCAGAATGTTTACTGCAACATGGTAATAACAAAAAACTGGAATGCACACACATATCAATCAGCAGGTTAAATACATTGTGATGGGAAAGTATACAGTCACTAAAACATGAGGTAGGCCTATTCATGTAGACATGGAAAGATCTTCTAAATGTGTTTTATTTACTTTTTATTTTTTTGTTCTTTTTTTTTCTAAATGTGTTTTTTTTATTAAAAAAAAACAAAAACACGCCCCCCCCCCAAATGTGCACCACAATACAATCTTATTTGTGTTATATTAAAAAAATAGATATTAAGGTAACACACTGACTTTTTTTCCAGGAAGGATGCATATGTAGTGGTAGTGACTTTTGGGGAGTAGCAGTGTTTGGAGGGGGGAAAGATAACTTTTGCTTTTTATATTATTTTCTATAATATCTGATTTTTTTTTTAATGCCATGTGAATGCGGGGTTTTTCCTAAAATAAATATTTTAAAAGCAGACAAGGGCCCTAGGTGATTTGGCTCAGTGCATAGATCATCGGCTTGTGAACTGAAGGGTCCTGATTAAGGGCACATGCCCGGGTTTCAGGCTTGATCCCCAGGGGGGGACGTGCAAGAGACAGCCAATCAATGATTCCCTGTCATCATTGATGTTTCTATCTCTCTCCCTTTCCCTTCCTCTCTGAAATCAATAAAAGTGTATTAAAAAAAAAAAAGCAGACAAGGAATATGAAAAGATACATAAAAGAGAAAAGAGAGACCCCTTAGACCGGAGATAATGGTTTATCCTGACACAGGATAGTCTTGCGTTAGCTGTATTAATAACAGCATTGTGACTGGACCCTTTGAGTTTTAGGAAGACCAGCAGGGCAGCAGCCTGGAGGACGGAAGGGAGATGTGAGACTAGAATCAGGGCAACTGGTCATCACATTTAGGACGTAGAGGAGAGTTGGAGAGACTGCCCCAGAGAGGAGAGTTGAAAAGGGAAACTGAGAGCCTTGATGCCTTTTTGGATGAGGAGGGTGAGGAGGCCCAGGCATTTGCCTCAGGCAGCTGGGTGAATGGCGATGCTGCCCAAGAAAACACTCAGAAGGAAGTAGAGGGTCAAAGACCAGAAGAGG